GAAAAAATTTTTATGGACAGATAAAACTAGAACGAGCTTTTGTCACAAAAACATATGTCTCCCGAAACTAGGTATGGTACTGATCAACCCTGTGAAAGCTGGACAAGATTTTTCAAGTTACAGCTTTCGTGGCCGAAGCAAAAATTTACATGCCGGCAATATGGACAACTAGGGATGGTACTGATCACTCCTGTAAAGTATGGACAAAGTCCCACCAGCAGTTTGACCTGTGAAAGCCTGACAAAATTTTTCTATTTACAGCTATGGTTGCTATTTTGTGCAGCAAAGCTGAGTGTGCCAGCAACATGCACAACTAAGTATTGTACTGATCACTACTGTGAAATCTCAAGAAATCCCCCCAGCAGTTCTACCTGTGAAAGTTGGACAAGATTTTTTAAATTTTTAGCTCTGGTGGCCATTTTGTGCAGCAAAGAGTGATTTGCCAGGGATATGCACAACTAGGGATGGTATTGATCACTCCAATGAAGTTTCATTGAAATCCCCCCAGCAGTTTAACCTTTTAAGCTGGACAAAAATTTTCTATTTATAGCTCTGGGGGCCATTTTGTGCACTGAAGTGGAATGCCCGCGATATGCACAACTAAGTATGGTACTGATCACTCCTGTGAAGTTCCAGTGAAATCCCCCCCACCCCCCAGCAGTTCAACCTGTGATAGCTGGCCAAGATTTTTCTATTCTAAGCACTGGTGGCCATTTTGTGCAGCCAAGCGGAACGTGCCAGCGATATGCACAACTAAGGATGTTACTGATCACTCCTATGAAGTTTCATTAAAATCCTGCCCGCTGTTTGACCTGTGAAGGGGGCACAGACAGAGGAGACAGACGGAGAGAAAGCAAACAGACAGGTGGCAGAGGCAAAAACAATGTCGCCAAAATTTTCGGGAGACAAAATGAAAGACAGAGGTACTTAAAAAATTTGTTCAAAACATTGAAATTGGTTTTCATGAAAAAGGTAATGAATGTTTAACCATCTATCAATTATACTCGTACTAAATAACCAGAGAACTTACCTCGGTTCATTGCATTTTCTAACACATGGTGTTATTTTGTTTTCTTTCAATAGAAGGGCTTTTATTTCATATTTTGTGTTAAGATTTTTTAAGTTTATTTTTGACTCTGATGACTTACTAATGCATTATACTCAAACAATTTATAAAACAATGAAAGGGCCTTTTTTGAGGTCAGCTAAGAATCAATCGTCAAAATCCACATTGTGAATTAACTAAAGGAGAGAATGTTATCTAAAGATTTTGCGGGCAACGACAGACAACTGCATATTGACATCATAAAAGCTCACCTCTGACCTGAGAGGTGAGCTAAAAAGGAATTAATTTTTTTTTCTAAATCTTACCTTGTAAAACTTTATCATGATGTCTCTCATACAATAATTGCATCATGTCAATGGATGCAGTTTCTCTCCTTAATGCGTTAGATGCACTGTTAACAAAAGGGTTACATTTCAATAGTCAATTTAAACAATATACATGCACAAAACACATAGAACATGTTTATGAATGCTACAGGAACCTTTATATTTGTTAATGCATTCCAGTACAAAATATATAGGAATTTTAATTTATTTTCATCATTTTTGACCTTGCCCTTAACCCTACTAACCAATAAATCCAAACAAAGTTAAAGGTCCATCAAAGATATATTCATACATGCCATAATTTTTACACTCATTTCTGGGACACTTTTCTTTTGGAGGAGGGGCATTGATCAACAAACATATTTTTTTTTAAATTTACATAGTGGCATACAACCGCTATACTGTATTACCGGTTTTTACAACTTGCAAATTTAATGACACCATAAACAAAAGACAGAATGTCAATAACTATTAACAGTTTTTCTATCTTTCTTAAGTATTTAGGCATCGTTAATTCAATCAGTCACAGAATAGAATAAAGCTATGTTAAGTAATGACAATTAGCCATGTCATTACCTGACACATTCGCTGAATCTTGTAGATTATCACCTCAAATTTAGCGGTAATTTTCACAGTGTTTGACCACTAATTGCCTGCAGGCGGATTAAATTTATACTGGCCAGTTGTTAATTACAGTGTATGACACCTTCGCTCAGGAAGCCACATGGGGTAAACAATTAATCTTTTAATTGATCAAAATATTGCCGATAATTGTTTGTTGGAAGGGGCACATAGATATACCAATCAAAGGATTAGTGTCACCATCCCAATGCTGTTAGGGGATTATCGTTCGTTATTAGCTTTCTAGACTAGTTAAAAAGTAGTTTATTAAAACTTGACAATAAAATTATATAAAAATGTAAAATTTCTTGCATCAAAGTAGATTATTTTACAATTTTTTTTTACCGGGACATAAATCATCTCCGGGACACCTCTGGGACAGACACCTTATTTCCGGGACTGTCCCGGGCATACGGGACGTTATGGCATGTATGATATATTCTTATCAAATATGAAAGTCACCCTTCAATGATTGTACAAGTTAAAGTGTAACTAGAAATGTATATATAGATTGACCCAAATTAGGCTTAAACATAATTAATGTTTATTTATGAACAAGATATGTTTGTAAAACATGTATGCCCCCTATCGGCAGCCAATTAGTCAAATGATCAGGTTATTATGCATGACTTCTGATCCAGTGAACAAACAATTAATAAGGGTTATCTAGTATCTACAGGTCATGACTAGTAACAAGGTAATAATTATTGTGACCCCATAGGTTGTGTGCAGCAATTTAAGTTATTACAAATCTTACAAATAATATATGTATAAATTTTATGAATCATGTAGGCCTCATTAATGACAGCCAAGTTGTTATATTACATAAGACCTTCAAATGTGTATACCAAAAGCATTTTTAGTTGATAAAAATATCAACCAAGGCAACTTGAGTTGTTGAGTTATCGGTCACAAACCGTCATTAAGTACAAGGTCAATATGACATTGACCCCTTGACCCTAAAATCAATAGGGTTCATCTACTGGTCATGACCAATCATCATACCAAGTTTGAAGTTCCTAGGCCTAAGCATTCTTTAGTTATTGATCAGAAACCGTTTTTACCTACAAGGTCAATGTGACCTTGACCTTTGACCCCTTGACCCCAAAATCAATAGGGGTCATCTGCTGGTCATGACCAATCATCATACCAAGTTTGAAGTTTCTAGGCCTAAGCGTTCTTAAGTTATTGATTGGAAACTGTTTTCACCTACAAGGTCAATGTGACCCTGACATTTGACCCCTAAATCAATAGGGGTCATCTGCTGGTCATGACCAATCATCATACCAAGTTTGAAGTTCCTAGGCCTAAGCGTTCTTTAGTTATTGATTGGAAACCGTTTTTACCTACAAGGTCAATGTGACCTTGACCTTTGACCCCAAAATCAATAGGGGTCATCTGCTGGTCATGACCAATCACCATACCAAGTTTGAAGTTCCTAGGCCTAAGCGTTCTTTAGTTATTGATCGGAAACCATTTTAACCTACAAGGTCAATGTGACCTTGACCTTTGACCCCTTGACCCCAAAATCAATAGGGGTTGTCTGCTGGTCATGACCAATAAGCATACCATGTTTGAAGTTCCTAGGCCTAAGCGTTCTTTAGTAATTGATCAGAAACCATTTTTACCTAAAAGGTTAATGTTACCTTGACCTTTGACCCCTTGACCCCAAAATCAATAGGGGTCATCTGCTGGTCATGACCAATCACCATACCAAGTTTGAAGTTCCTAGGCCTAAGCGTTCTTAAGTTATTGATCGGAAACCTTTTTTACCTACAAGGTCAATGTGACCTTGACGGTTGACCTTTGACCCCTTGACCCCAAAATCAATAGGGGTCATCTGCTGGTCATAACCAATCACCATACCAAGTTTGAAGTTCCTAGGCCTAAGCATTCTTTAGTTATTGATCACCTACAAGGCCAATTTAACCTTTGACCCCTTGACCCCAAAATTAATAGGGGTCATCTACTGGTCATGACCAATAAGCATACCATGTTTGAAGTTCCTAGGCCTAAGCGTTCTTTAGTAATTGATCAGAAACCATTTTTACCTAAAAGGTTAATGTTACCTTGACCTTTGACCCCTTGACCCCAAAATCAATAGGGGTCATCTGCTGGTCATGACCAATCACCATACCAAGTTTGAAGTTCCTAGGCCTAAGCGTTCTTAAGTTATTGATCGGAAACCTTTTTTACCTACAAGGTCAATGTGACCTTGACGGTTGACCTTTGACCCCTTGACCCCAAAATCAATAGGGGTCATCTGCTGGTCATAACCAATCACCATACCAAGTTTGAAGTTCCTAGGCCTAAGCATTCTTTAGTTATTGATCACCTACAAGGCCAATTTAACCTTTGACCCCTTGACCCCAAAATTAATAGGGGTCATCTACTGGTCATGACCAATCACCATACCAAGTTTGAAGTTCCTAGGCCTAAGCATTCTTTAGTTATCACTCGGAAACCATTTGGTCTACGGACCGACGGACTGACAAGTGCAAAGCAATATACCCCCTCTTCTTTGAAGTGGGGGCATAATTACTCAACTTTCAAAAAGTTGCAACAAAAAAGGTTTCCTGAAGGACTGGAAAAAAAATTTAGCTAGAAAAACATATGAGCCACGTCACAACAAAACCAACGTAATGGGTTTGCGACCAGCATGGATCCAGACCAGCCTTTGCATCCGCGCAGTCTGATCAGGATCCATGCTGTTCGCTTACAAACCCTTTAACAAGTAGAGAAACTGATAGCGAACAGCAAGGATCCTGATCAGACTGCGCGGATGCGCAGGCTGGTCTGGATCCATGCTGGTCGCAAACCCATTATGTTGGTTTTGTCGTGACGCGGATCATATTTTAAATTTTAAAGGACAAAAAAAAAACCACTTACAATATTCTTTTAGTTAAATCATCTGGGAGTCTCTTCATCAAATCTATATCACGTTTCCTATTTAGAAACTTTACAAATCCTGAAATGAGATATAATTATAAACACTGTATGAATAACACAAATGTTATCCAGGACTCACAATGAGAACTGTCCATATCTAATTATAAGACACATTTTAAACTCAAATATACATGTGTACAGTGGTTAGTGTATCTTATAATTGAATATTGCAGAAAAACTGATTAATTTTTGTTTTCTCAAATTTCTTCTTACTAGCCATAATTACACATTATCTACCTTCACTGTTGCTTTCGTCGGCAGCCATTTTTTAATATCCGGCTAAAATATGATGGTCAATGTCTATATTAAGTAATGGTAAATTGGGAAGGTTTATTGCTTTTACAGGTATCATCACAGAGCCATATCTGTGTAAGAAGTTTCTTATATCATAGCTTATCTGCAATTTAAAACTTGTGTTTGAATTTTTTGTTGTCTATAACTTTCAAAAATAAAGACATATAAATTCATTTATAATATGGCAGGTTTACATGTCCTAAAACAAGCCACCAATGGGCAGGGGCAATGCTTCACTTTTATTTACATTTTCTAACAGCAAACAAACTGTTTAAACTAATCTTTATAAGGAAATTTAAAGATTAAATAATTAAGGTTTTCCTTTTTTTATTTACATAGGTCTGTCTAGTTACACTTGTTGGTTTGTCCAAGTTTGAATGTTTTCCATAAATAAATGGCAAAATTAAGAAAATATAAGCAAATTTTAATGATCTGACCTTGACAGTCAAAGTGATCATATCTAAATTTTTCAACATGTTGTTTGGTCACAAGTGTTGTTTTGTCCATGTATGAATCAAATCCGTACATAAATAACTATGACAACTTAATCAAAGTTCAATCATTTGACCTTGAAAGTCAATGTCATTTAAAGCTCAAGGTCATAATAAGTTGATCTGGGGTAAAAAATCTGGTGAGTGTTCCCTGGGCAAGGTATGGCAATTACATCAAAATATCAAAGTGCTAAAACTGAATATGATTTCCCAGTAATGCTGCCAATTCTAAAATACAAACAGCAGAAGAACTGTATTGCTTCCTAGGCCATTGCAATTTAAAAAAAAAAAAAAATAGGTAACATGTACATTAAAACATTTTTGTTTAAGTATAGATTAAAGTTTATTAGTCGGTATTTACAAAATTAAATTGGTCAGGTGCGGCATAGCCATGCGACCAATTCCATTTTGTTAATATGTACTAATAAATTTGAACCAGCTTAGTGTTTTAAATTATTTTTTTAAAACAGTCCATTTACTAGACTGATTAACAGTTTGCTGTTTTTTACCGTGATATATGTGTTACGATTCAACTGAAAAACTGCAATCCTATTGGACAAAAAAATTTCACACACTAAACATTATTTAGGTCCAGCCCAAAAAATAAGATGTTGCATCCTTAAAGTGGCTATATATAGTAATGCAAAGCAGCTAAAAAAATTCAATCTCGCTGAATAGCCTAACTGCCCTTATATATATATCCTTGAATAAAAATTAAATTCTTTACTAGATTTTGGGCAATAAGAACTTTGTTTGAAATGACAATTTACAAATTTGGCTAATAAGACACTGTGGTAGAACATGTTAATCTTGCTTTAGATACTTACTAGTCCCCATATCTCCACTAGGAAGATTCTCGTGTAATTCTTCATCTGTCATATCATGGAACCTATAGTGTTAATTCAATTATAGGTCATAAAAGTCTGTATACAGTGTATGATAGTATTATTTTCATGAACAATGATCTAATTCACCATAAACAACCTGTTTTCACCCAAAAAAGCAACATAAAGATCAAAAAAATTTATTTTTTTACACCAGTTACCTTGATCTAGTGACCCTAACTCAACTGAAAGTAAGAGGACCATTAAAGGTATCTACCTACCAAATATGGAATATTTCATTAAATAAATGAAGTAATTAAGAGAAATTTTATAGTAAACTAAATCCATCTTGCCAGAATAGGTAAACCATATGAGCCGCATCACGACAAAACCAACATAGTGCGCTTGCGACCAGCATGGATCCAGACCAGCCTGCTCATCTGCGCAGTCTGATCAGGATCTATGCTGTTCCCTATCAGTTTCTCTACTTGTAATAGGGTCGGTTAGCGAACAGCATGGATCCTGATCAGACTGCGTGGATGCGCAGGCTGGTCTGGATCCATGCTGGTCGCAAACGCACTATGTTGGTTTTGCCGTGACGCGGCTCATATTTTCAAAATGAAAAAAGGGAAATAACTGGTAAAAATGGATAGCACAGTCATATAACTTGGCAATATCATGTACTTTGCATTGATAAGTATGGAAATTATTATGTCATTTGTACACAAAGGGCTTAAAGATAGATTCTATATCCAACTTGCCCATTTACGTTAACCATATCAATTTTCAAAGTGCTGAAAAGGGCAATAACTTGGAAAAAATGGAAGCCATAGTTATATAACTTGCCCAAATTGATTAGTTACTGTGTAAATTATGAAGTCAATAGTACTTGGCAATTAGAACTTAAGATAAATCCAAATCGCCATTTTAAATTAACCTGGTATAGACAGAAGAAATTTGGATATTTACATGTACAATAGGGATATGACAATAAAAGTTCACCTTGCAAAAGACTGACATGGTTATATATATTAAATAAAAACCTCACCTTTTCTGTACTTCATCAAAAGTCAGCCTTTCTCCTCCAATCAAATGTTTGGACTGAAGTAAAAACAATATTGTTATACTGGGTCCTTTGTCAAACAAAAAAATTAAAACTTGTGAAGATCTGGCAAGGATGCAACTTCATGCCAAATATCTTAATTCTAAGCTTTGTAGCTTCACACAATAAGAATTTAATGTGTTTTCCTATATAAGTCTATATAAAGTGACTGTGTAGCAGGGCAATATTGACTCAAGGGGCATGATAAGTATCAATTTTGCAAAGGTCCACAAGCTTATGCTACATGCTAAATATCTTAGCTCTTGGTATTTTAATTTCACACAATAAGACTTAAATGTTGTGTTTTATCTATAGAAGTCTTTATAATTTTAGTGTCTACAAGGGTGGGGGGGCTTACATTGACCCAAAAGATGTTATTTTAGTTCTTATTTGAAATAACTATAACTACTAATGCCTTATTACATATAAGGTTTTTTTAACAAAATTTTTAATTTACAAGTTAGGGGGCCGGCCAATTGATGCCACTCGCTCGAATGAGGATCTGTAAACTATATCATGGTCCTCTAAAATTTCAAAGTTAACAGGAAATTGGCTAGATTGTACCACAAATACAACAGCAAGATAGGGTATAATGTATCTAACATAACGCGCTGTGACATGAATATTTTATGCTCCATTACCTGATCTTCCTTATCTTTATCCACAACAGGTTCTGCTTTTTCCTGTAAATATACATGTCCAACAAACATTCATTAATTTCTTTGCAAAAAAAAAAAAAAAAAATCCAACAAGAGGGCAAGAATGGCCATAGATCACTCACCTGAGATCCATTGTAAGTAAAGTTTACAATTCTTCAATACACAAGTAATTAGGTCACATTGGGTGTGTCATTTTTGATGGGCATGATTTATCAAATATTTGTAGATGTCTGCAAGTAGGAAATGCTACAAGAAAAATACCTTATCTCTTACATTGTAGTTTTAAACAATATTTTAATGTGTTTTCTATACATGTCTGTACAAACTTAAAGACCACCTAGGCAAAGACAGTTTTGCTTTTGACACTACAGATCCAGATAAGAAAAATTTTAAAGCTAATTTTACTAAATAAGAATATGCATACTAAATGACCCCCTGGATGGAAAATTTTTTTTACCCTACGAGCATGATTTACATATTTTCCATAAATGTTCAATGGTCATTGCTATATGTTAAGTATGTATACTGTGATTGGGCTAGTAAATTTCTACTGGAAGTTTTATATATGTATCCCTATAGATAAATCTCTATACAAGAACCGGTTGAACCGGGTGATGCTCCCCGAGAAGGTTCTGGACACAGGAAAGTATAAAAAAAATGAACAAAGGGCAAAAACTCCAAAATTAGGCAAAGCGGAGTTATGTTTTTTTGCACTGCACTTCTATTCAATGAGATCTATCTATCTATAAAGTTTCCTGATGATATCAGAATTATGTCCCAGGTAAAAGTCAAAGTGTAAAAATGAACAAAGGGCAATAACTCCAAAATTAGACCAGGCTTTGTTTAGGTTCTTTAAGCATTGCAATTCTATCCAATTATATCTAGCTACCTACAAAGTTTCATGTTGATATATCTCTAATAGTATTAAAGTATTGTCCAGGACAAAGTCAAAAAGTAAAAATAAACAAAGGGCAATTACTTCAAAATAAGGCAAGGCAGAGTTACGGTTCTTGTGCACTGCACTTCCACCCAATGAGACCTATCTATCTACAAAGTTTCATGTTGATATCTCTTATAATTTTAGAGTAATGTCCCAGACAAAGTCAAAGTGTCAAAATGAACAAAGGGCAATAACTCCAAAAGTAGGCAAGGCAGAGTTACCGTTCTTGTGCACTGCACATCTACTCAATGAGATCTATCTACCTACAAAGTTTCATGTTGATACCTCTTATACTTTTAGAGTTATGTCCCGGACAAAGATCAAAGTGTAAAATAAACAAAGGGGGATAATTCAAAAATAAGACAAGGCAGAGTTACCGTTCTTGTGCACTGCACACCTACTCACTGAGATCTATCTACCTACAAAGTTTCATGTTGATACCTCTTATACTTTTAGAGTTATGTCCCGGACAAATTTCAAAGTGTAAAATAAACAAAGGGGGGTAATTCAAAAATTAGGCAAGGCAGAGTTACGGTTCTTGTGCACTGCACACCTACTCAATGAGATCTATCTACCTACAAAGTTTCATGTTGATACCTCTTATACTTTTAGAGTTATGTCCCGGACAAAGTTCAAAGTGTAAAATAAACAAAGGGGGATAATTCAAAAATAAGACAAGGCAGAGTTATGGTTCTTGTGCACTGCACACCTACTCAATGAGATCTATCTACCTAAAAAGTTTCATGTTGATACCTCTTATACTTTTAGAGTTATGTCCCGGACAAAGTTCAAAGTGTAAAAATAAACAAAGGGGAATAATTCAACAAGAGGGCCATGATGGCCCTGAGGTCGCTCACCTGTATATAGGCCGCCCCAACCCCCCCCCCCCCCCCCCCCCCCAAACATTGCAGGGCCAATTTAACCAAAGGGCTTTTATTTGCACAAACTTGGTAGACACCCATAAGAAAATGTTTCATGCTAAACATCTAAGCTCTAGCTCATTGGGCTATTTAAAAGAAGATTTTTTTAAAGTTTTTACTATACACATATAGTTAAAAACAATGACACGCCTGGGGCCAGGCCAGTTATGACCCCAAGGGTTTTTATTTGAACAAACTTTGTAGACACTTACTAGAATATGTTTCATGCTTAATATCTAAACTCTAGCTATTTGGGTTTTTTCAAAGAAGATTTTAAGTTTTTGCTATACACATATAAGGAAAATCAATGACCCGGGGCAGGGCCAATTTTGACCCCAGGTCTTTTATTTGAAACAAACTTTGTAGACACTCACTAAAAGATGTTTCATGCTTAATATCTTAACTCTAGCTATTTGGGTTTTTTCAAAAAAGATTTTTTAAGTTTTTTGCTATACACATATAAGGAAAATCAATGACCCCCGGGCGGGCCAATTTTGACCCCAGGGCTTTTATTTGAACAAACTTGGTAGACACCTATTAGAACATGTTTGATGCTAAATATCTTAACCATAGCTCTTTGAGTTCTTTAAAAGAAGATTTTTAATTTTTTTACTATATGCATATATAGGGAAAAATCAATGACCCCCGGGCAGGGTCAATTTTGACCCCAGGGCTTTTATTTGAACAAACTTGGTAGACACTTATTAGAACATGTTTTCATGCTAAATATCTTAGCTCTAACTCTTTTGGTTCTTTAAAAGAAGATTTTTTTAAGTTTTTTACTATATGCATATAGGGAAAATCAATGACCCCCTGGGGCGGGGCCAATTTTGACCCCAGGGCTTTTCTTTGAACAAACTTGATAGACACCTATTAGAACATGTTTGATGCTCAATATCTTAGCCATAGCTCTTTGAGTTCTTTAAAAGAAGATTTTTTAAGTTTTCACTATATGCATATAGGGAAAATCAATGACCCCCCGGGGCCGGGCCAATTTTGACCCCAGGGCTTTTATTTGAACAAACTTGGTAGACACTCACTAGAAGATGTTTCATGCCAAATATCTAAGCTCTAGCTCTTATGGTTTTTTAAAAGAAGATATTTAAAGTTTTTTCTTTCGGTTGCCATGGCAACCAGAGTTCTGCATGGAATTAAATTCTTTGAACAATTTTTAAAGGTGACCACCAAAGGAACATTCCTGTGAAGTTTGGATGAAATTGGCCTTGTGGTTTATGAGGAGATGTCATTTAAAGTAAAAGTTTACGGACGACGGACGGACGCCGGACGAAAAGCGATCACAAAAGCTCACCCTGTCACTTTGTGACAGGTGAGCTAAAAATTAGGCAAGGCAGAGTTACGGTTCTTGTGCACTGCACACCTACTCAATGAGATCTATCTACCTACAAAGTTTCATGTTGATACCTCTTGTTGTTTCAAAGTTATGTCCCGGACAAGAAAAGGGGACGGACGGACGGACGGAAAGACGGATGGACGGACGGACGGACAAGGCGGCGACTATATGCTCCCCCGAAATTTTTTCGGGGAGCATAATAAACTAAGTGACCCAGGGCAGAGATGATTTCAACACCAAGGGTATTACTTATACCACTTTTGTAGAGGTCCACCATGTTATGTTTCATGCAAAATTTCTCTGCTCTGGTTGTTATGACTAAGTAAGTAGTAAGAAATTCATGAAAGTCTTTGTAAACTAAGTGAACCATTGAGCCCTTTTCCCTATAGTTATAATCCTTGATAACAGATCATGTGACTGATCTGAAGGCAAATAAAATCTCTTATCTTTTATATACCATAGAGTTACTTTAGTTCTTTTTTCATTAAAATTTTTAATTTAAAAGGGAGATTATTCTTAAAATATATAATCTAGTTTTATGGTGTCTGTGTTAACATGTCAGACTAATAATCTTAGGATTGCTGGCTGCATGGGTTCAAACCCCGTTAGGGGCAAAGTCATTGTTTCCATAAGCAAGAAACTTTACACCCATTGCTTAGTACTGGTTGGTTCCAGAAACTGATTTGAGAGATTCAATAAGCTAATAGCTTCCAACACAATCAAACTAAAATAAATTCATATAAAATAATCTAGTTATGGACCTTGTCTTAGATGTTGAGTGATGAAATGTGGAACACTCTCTGAAATCTTCAGACATAACTAGAACTCCGCGAGTCAGATGTGTCGCCTTGTGAACAATGTAGTTTAGGGGAAATGGCCAGGACAAAAATGAAATATGAAAAATAACAAAGGGCAATAACTAACAAGAGGGCCATGATGGCCCTGAAGTCGCTCACCTGTATATAGGCCCCCCCCCCCGCAGCGGGGCAAGTTTAAACCCCTGGGCTTTTATTTGAATAAACTTGGTAGACACCCATTAGAAGATGTTTCATGCTAAACATCTAAGGTCTAGCTTGTTGGGTTTTTAAAAAAAAAAAAATTTAAGTTTTTTCTTTACACATATACTATTATTTAAAAACAATGACACTCCTGGGGCAGGGCCAGTTTTGACCCAAGGGCTTTTATTTGAACAATCTTTGTAGACACTTACTAGACGATGTTTCATGCTTAATATCTAAACTCTAGCTATTCGGGTTATTTCCAAGAAGATTTTTAAGTTTTGCTATACACATATAAGGAAAATCAATGTCCCCCGGGGCGGGGCCAATTTTGACCCCAGGGCTCTTATTTGAACAAACTTGGTAGACATCCATTATAACATGTTTCATGCTAAATATCTTACCTCTAGCTCTTTGGGTTTTTTAAAAGAAGATTTTTAAGTTTTTACTATATTCGTATAGGGAAAATCCATGACCCCCTGGGGCGGGCCAATTTTGACCCAAGGGCTCTGATTTGAACAAACTTGGTAGACATCCATTAGAACATGTTTCATGCTAAATATCTTAGCTCTAGCTCCTTGGGTTTTTAAAAAGAAGATTTTTAAGTTTTTACTATATACATATAGGGAAAATCAATGACCCCCTAAGGGGCCAATTTTGACCCCAGTAGTGAGATCTATCATCCTATGAAGTTTAAAGTCCATGGCTTTTATACATTAGGAGAAATGGCCCAGACAAAAATAAAGTATGAAAATTAACAAAGGGCAATAACTCAAAAATTAGGAAGTGCAGAGAACTGGTTCTTGTGCACTGCATTTCTTCTTAATGAGATCTATCATCCTATGAAGTTTCAAGTCCATAGCTTTTTTAGTTGAAGAGAAATGGCCCGGACAAAATTAAAGTATGAAAATTAACAAAGGGCAATAACCCAAAAAATAGAAACTGCAGAGTACCGGTCCTTGTGCACTGCACTTCGGGTTATTGAAAGAAGCATGCATACCAAGTTTGAAGTCAATCAGACTTATAGTGACTGAGTTATGCTCCGGACAAGCTTTAGCGGACGCCGACGACGACAACGCCGACAAAAGTAACCCCTATATGTCACCTTTTCAAGGCGACACAATAAAAGTATACCAAAGGTAAAGAAATTATTTGCACATTTGTCATCAATCTATTTAAATTCAACATATAATTATACAAATGTATTAAATTTCAAAACACTGACCTTGACCCCTAGGATTAACTTTAAGTATGACTGAACTCATAACTACTGAAGAACAAAACAACAACTACACAACTCTTTTTTTTTTCTTCAGAAAACATAAAAACCTTACTCAGAGCAGTCATACCAATATGGTTTAAGTCTGTTGGAGTTATTTATTATAATAGACAAATATTACTCAATTATTTATTATAATAGACAAACAGATGATCACTGTGGTAACTGTTGCTAAATTACCTGTTTGGGTTTTTCTTCATTTGACGATGATGTCACAACCTTTTTAACCTTTGGAAGTTCTGTTTTCTCCTGTAAATATACATTTCACTAATTTAATAAAATATTTAATCTACAGTTATGAACCTTGTCTTAGATGTTGAGTAGTGAGAAAGAGAACAAACTCTGAAGTCTTCAAATATTAACAAGTTATACAGGAGGTATAAGAAATTATTCAGTGTTGTATTCAGCGTCTAGGCCACGCCATTGAGCAATTTACAATTATTTTTTGCAGATCGTGCATTTTAATGAAGTCAATGCACGCCAAGTCCTGCATCTGAAGATGTTTTTAACTCGCTCCATATGAATGAAAGAACAAGTATTGAATAAAATCAGAGACATAGATGTTATCTACCTCTCTGATAAAATGAAAACTTTGTGTTAAAATGAGCAATTTCTCCTGCATCAGAAAGGATAAATTAGTATGAGCGAAAGAATTAATTTTGCAAAGTCTACATTAATACGAGTAGTTCTATGTTGTTTTGAAAATTATGCCAATTTAAAATGTTGTAAGTAAACAAATTTGTACATTAATTAACCACAGTAAACAAATTTGTACATTAATTAAAC